TTTTTCCAGGTGCAACGGGCACCAGACAAGAAATGAACGAATCACGAGATCCAACGGACGAACATCAACGAAGCAATGTACACTCAGTCAACTAGCATAAGTAGAGGACCAGTTGGCAATCCATGGAGTCGGTCGGAAGAATTTTACGGATGGTAACACCACTGGGTTTTTACTTCCGGCTGGTTTCATCTCAGGATATTCACTGCCCACTAGGGGGGAGTGAGCTGCATAGGTTGGTAATTCCCTAGAATTATTAGCCACATCATTCATCACTGAACATCGGATGCTGACGCTAACTGTTCAACTCGACCTGTTTACCTGAAGGCTCACGGTCAAGCAACCATGCCATTTGTCACACCGTCGTGTTATGTTCCTTCATTCGCACACGATCTCTAGCTAGTCAAGGAATCACTCTCGCACTGCGATCTGGTCCTGAAATATTCTTCGTAATTCAGAAGGTGAATTTTGGTGTTTTGCTCTGCCTTTGTTCTTCACGGAACGAATACTATGGAAGTTTTGGGTATTAGATCTTGTGTTGGTATACATCGGACTACCCATGAATGTTGAAACCCATGACCTCTCGCGAACGGCGAATTATCCCCGATATTCCATGATATCACATGCTGCCAATTAAAGGAATTTTTATATCGACAATTATTTGAAGTGTCTTAGGACAGTCTAATTAGAAACCGCGGCTGATATGTGCAGCATATTAGAGATACATACTTAGTATAATTCATTCTTATTACATACATATCTTATAAATACACTTTTTATTCAGTGAACGCTACATTTAACCCAGAAGTTTCTAAATGGTTGTTTCAAGTTTACTTGGCTTTGCCGTTTATTCTTTACTTTATCCTTTTCAGCGGCATTACCAGTGTCTTACAGATCAAACCGAACCAACTTCATACTGACTTAAGGTGTGTCTAGGCCGCCTGTGCATGCTCTAGTAGCTTTAAGTCTTATTTTAATTGGTTAGCATTCAGTAACATAGGACGACATTTTGCTCTCCTTTCTTGTGCTGTTAACTGGCACAGAAACTGAGTCCGAAGTTTGGCCAATGCTCACCAGATAAGACCTCAAATCTTTTATTCATATAACTGTGACATTTTCACCATTGAAATGCAAAGTTCATTAGAGCGGATTCCTAAATAACCATATCCTTTTGATTTGTCTCGTTATGAGTAAAATGAGGTCACACGCAATACTGATTGACTGAGTAATCTGGCGCAGTGCGTTTAGTAAGACTGTTGTAGTGCAGTTAATCGATGGTACTATCAGTGTCTTACAATTGGTGAGCTTGGATCTCACTATCTGTATTATCTTTGACCTAATATATCCACTTTTTAATCCTTTCATTGGTTTCATTTTTGTCCATTTTTGTAGAGAAGGTTACTACTATTTTAGCATTTATGTTACTTTACCATCGTCACATATTATTATTCTTGCTAATGACGACTCTCCTACTCAAGTAGCAGTTACGCTGCAGCTCTCCTTCTCCTGGGCATACTGACTACCTTCATGGTTCAGTTCGCACCACGGCGTACTCACTCGCGAGAAACTAAGGCAGACTTGGTGTGAGTCTTCCTGGGGACATCATGGAGGGTGTTTCGGATATGCTGGGCGATCCTCCCCCGGAGCTTTACAATCATTTAAAGGCGTTTGTAGTTAGGGAAGTTGTGTTTACCATCCAACATAATGTGGGAGAACTCTTCAGAGACGTTCAACTCGAGGACCGTAAACCCACAAAAACGTTTCGTCGGATGAGAAGCTCACCGCTGATTTTAAATTGACCCAATCTTCCTGAAGAAACTGTTGACGCGAAGGCTGCTGCAGACTGTAAAAGGAGTTCTTGCACCCTTTCACAATTCATCATCGATGGAATTATCAGAGACAGCTGAAGACTATCCAACCTATTAGTCCTTAAATAGGGTATTTCTACCAAACTATCTACGAGCACTCATTATCGGGTAAATCTTCATTCAACCGAACAGTCGTATAGTTTTTACATCAGAAAAATGCAAACTCAGGGAGGAAATTGTCACCAGAAGTCATTCCTGGAGTCAAGCGCCTTGCACAATTGGAAAGTTTTCCTCACGTTCCCGCAACATATGGTCGAAATCAAAAAGGTACACCCATGAATTTGCTGGTATCAGAGACATCATGGTGCGAATGAAAAAAGGTGTGCCCTTTCTCGCACCCTTGACAGTAGCCAGCTGGGAAACGCGTTAGCTGGCACGTGGTATTGACTGAGGTTGCTGGCGAGTTAATACATTGTCGCCTCTTCTATGTCGCATAATAGAACTCTGAGACACGCATCCCGGTTGATAGCGAGACAGAAGTTAGAGTATTTCCACCCGCGACAGATGGCTATCTGCAGCCAACATCCTTATAAGGACGCTTCGTCAATGGTTCGCCCATAACAGCTCATGACCGAAGGCTCTTAAACCTTGAAATTTGATTATACAGTTCCTTCTGCTGGGTTTCCACTCATGCTGGTGTAGCTACCGGCCTTATTGGTATGGATCTCTCGCAGCACTATCAGTTGCCGGTAGATACAGGCAAGCACAGGTTGACTGAAGTCATTCATCACATCATGACGATCGGTCCACCCGTTTTCGCTAAACCATGGTGGTTATCTCCATTAATACTGAGGCTGAACACACAAACGGAAGAGAGATAATCATGCTACCCAATAGTCTTTATCTCCGCAATTGGTGCCTAAGAACAGTGATTCACGAAGAATCACTGCCTAGACTGTCTCAGATTTCTGGATGGCCAAAAGGTTTGATCCTGATTGTAATGTTGCCGATTTCTACAACTAAAATCGTGGTCACATACAGCTGAAGTGTCGCGAAATCCAGCGGAAAATGTGTCCCCTAGTCCTTGGTTCGTGGTGAGGCTTCTCTTTGGCCGAAGTGATCAACTTTCACTCGGTGGGTCTCGGGTTCAAACCCCAGTTCACCTACTTCCGGCCAGGCAACTTTGTGATATCATCGAACTTTTTGCAGCAAGTGTTGCTAATAGCTGAGTACTGGTTATGTGTTCTAACTAAATCCTAGTTGTTGTTCTACCTCGCGGCAGGCAAGGAAGAGAGAGCAGGGAGGGAGCGGGATTAGCTCCCATACGTCGTGTAAACTACCCTCAAAGTTTCGCCTGAATTGCGAAGACTCCTTGTTTCGGGAATGGATGGCACCCGCATATGAAAAACTTCAAGAAGTCATCTAGTCAAAGCGTATTCTTTCAGTAAACGCTCAAGTGAGCGTGGGAATATGGACTGTCCGTAAGATATATGTGATTAGCAGAGCTACGTAGATTGCACAAAGAATGAGAAAATATGACATAGGAGTGTCCTCCAGGTGACAACCACAAGCATTTCATTGATTTACGAAAGAAAATTCTGATGAAGGGTATTAGTGTTAGTTTGACCAATTGAATTTTCCGTTGATTTTATATGCGACAACCTCCATATACTTGAAAAATATAGCACATATAAGGACCAGCGCAACATGAAATTATGAGAGATAATTCCACACAGCATACAAAGTGAATACATTGGTTCTACTAGTACTCAGTAAAATTCTCACGTGAACAAAAGTTTTTGTTGTCTACAGTTGATTTTTATGTTGACGCCATTGGCATAAATAGACCTCATGTTTTCCAGTATCAGAGAGTTATACACGAACTTCAAGAGAACGTCTGAAACATCCGTACTGTTGAGACTTTATTCTCTCGACAGGATTACCTGGAGGTCGACTTCACTCTGAATACGTTACAATTAAAAGGAATTTCTGCAAATGTGTAACTTAGAAATTAATACACAATCTCAGTAATATCTAGTGAACATGGCCTTTTGAATCCCACAGAAATTACATTCTCATATTTAGCAAACTATAGCAATCAAAATGTAAGCTGAATATGCCTCAACTCTAAACAGCTATGCACAGTGTTTACAGCACAGAGAAGCACTCAGAATATTGTAGGATACAGAAACCTGTTGTGTTGATGAGGATAAGAGTGTCACATAATACAACCTAGAAATTCAGTGGTGATACAGCATCTGTACCGTTTCGTGTAAATGGAAACTTCAGGAGAAATTCAACTCCACTATTGGTGATCAAAAATATTGCAACATTAGGTTTATAGTGTCCGTGGAAATGGTATGATAGACAATAGATTGAGCTGACTATTTTACATTTTCATAGCAAACACAATACATGTGTATGATAATACGATACAGTGAATTAGTGGGTTAACTGATAGAGTGAGGAAAATAAAACGAGTGATATCCTTCTCCAGTGCAGTGCACTAACAATAGTCATGAGGACCACCTACATTTGTCAGCCTAGCAGTCAGCTAAGCAGGCAATGGCACAATATTAATGAAGTAGAGATATTTTTATGCGTTGAATCCACATGGCCTCTACTGTACTGCACCAATCAGTGAAAAGATAGATGAAATCCCCTCAGAGATAACCCTTCAACCGATGATAATTCCTTTCCAATCACAGCTAAAGTGAAAAGCACATCTATATGATGTCTTACGTTCCCACAAACGATTCTGTCAGCATTTACAGGTGATTTCCATGTAATGATAGCATTCTTTTGTCAGAAAGTGCTGTTCTTCACACAAAAATATTCTGCAGTGACATCCTGAGGCGGGAAGTCTTCATTGAACTATACTATGCCGAAAGGTGAAGCTCCTACATAAAGTAGACTATTTGTGTAGATGACATTACTCTCCGACTGTCCAATTTGCTCATCATAGCGATATTCTGACACAGTTCACTTGAAACGTTAATCATTGTGACCAATATGCTAAGAGTACGCCATAGTCAGATCACATGACGTAGAAACGAACTATTGTCAGAAAATTTGACTTTCTACCAATTCAGAAAACATATAAAACAGTTTTATAAAAACTCATTCACCAGAAAAATTCACCAAGCGAAATTTCAACCAACCTTGACGTATAAGTTCAGCGTAGTATTACTGTAGGCTTGCGAGATTGGACAAATGTTCAGGCGGGACTTTCGTAGTTCGCGTTACGGTAACACTCGCCGGTCATTTTTGTTCTGGTTCCTTCGTTTTTTTTGTTACTGTAGTTTACAGTTAATAGCTGTTTTCATTATTTTTACTGTTTCTGTGGTGTGCCTGTAACTATCTAGTTTTCTACTGCCTCATTTGTTTGCAATTAACTTTTTAAGCACAGTTATGCACATTATAATGTGCACTCCTTTTTAATGTTCATTTAAGTTGGCTGTCGCTGAATCGCCCCAAGGTTTTGTGGATTTTACTCCGCTTACCCAAGTGTTGCTTTCATGGAACAATATTGCCAACCTCAATTAGATTCCCTCTAAACTAATTAAAAGCAGTTGATGTAAGCTGCATCTTCTGGAGTTTAAGTCACATAACTTACAGTATGAATGTCGAATTCGTAATCTGTTTTGAGAGAATATAATTAGAGGAGTACTTTGTTCCACCTGTGCAAGAAGTTTAAAACTTGGGTGATGATTTTCCCAATCTAGTTAGTCTTCTAATAATTGTGAACAAAACTTATGAAGTCATTTGAGAGATTGATTCCTTTTGTGCAGCATAGTACTAGTTGGTAGTCAACTGTTAAGGTTTGCGGAGTTATCAGAACAAAATGTCTTGGTATCTAGAGTCTGCAGCTACTAGTAGGAGTTGTGGAGTTAACTATTGTCTTTGAAGTCACGGTTTACAGGACAAATATCACGAGTTTATATAGGTTTCTCGCTGATGTGCTTGAGAACTGCTGGTAGTGATGTAAACTCACTTGTAAATAGGTATCAGGTTATCACATTTTGAAATAACATTTTTCGTATTCCTTTCGTCATTTGACTTAATCGATATGTTGTGTCGGCTAGTATCTTTCAACGTCTTACTTTTTATCTTGATGGGAAGTATGCGGACTTATACATTTATACGTACTGATTGCATTCTCAAATGCTATTGATTTAGACCTTGTGCTTGTTAATCCTTTTCGTAATACGGGTTTCCTTGAGAGAAAAACATTACCTACCTCACCAGTTAGAGATGTTTTTATTCAGTTATTCAATGTAATTGTCTGTCTGTCTGTTTTCGACATAGAACTTTGCACAAGTGTGCGGCAGTTCAAGTCGCCACACTCCATGTATCACACAAAGCAAGAGAAAAAAGTACAAGAAAAGCATAATAGAAACAGTGAGCAGAGGTGTGTGACAAAGGAAGAGTAATAACGAAGAACAAAACAGTTTCATTAGGAATCTTATATCACAAGGAGTGGATGCATCTGCGTCACTGAGAACGGTTTTGAGCCATGTCACCAGTTGTTTCCAACCATTTGTTTTTACCGTCCCGAGGACACCAGCCAGTCAGGAAGTCTACACCTTCCTACGTGGCTATGACTAACTGTTGTGGATTTCATTGACTGGTGCCAAGTTTTTGTGTGACCTCCGTTAGCTTTTTTCCAGCCTGACCCTATATCCGCTAACATTGCCCATTGTCGAGGAAGGCGATGACTAGGCTAGTCATACGTAACACATTCAGTATAATTAAGTCATGTAGAACTAAGTCAGGAATATTGATAAGTAACTACAGCATAATCGTTAACATAATTTAATTCCAGTAGACATAATGACGTTGGAAATCGGTAAGCGATGTGGTGCTACTGATCCTTAATATGAACTGAAGTGACCTACACTCTTCGTTACTTCGAAAAATGTATTCTATAAATAGCTTCCCAGTTTATGAATCCCAGATAAGTAGGATATTTGTATTATGTTATGGATACATAGTCGTAGGATGTTTTATTCTAAGAAGTATATATTTTTTATTTCATTGTAATATATTTATGTATTTCCTTCTAATTCTATACCTATACACAGAATTCTGCTTCTGTTTATTTTAGTTCTATTGTCCGTGATAGTTAATCTCGCCTAAACTTCAAGATGTCAGAACCCCTACCTGGTGTTGAAGATTTGACCAAGTTAAAGGTATAAGTAATGTGTATTTATTCCGCCTCTTGAAAGTTAAGTGATCTAAAGAAAATATGTAAAGAAAATAAACTACCATCTACTGGTACAAAAACTGAACTGATTTCTCGCCTTACTGAGGTGCAAGGTAAGCCCACTGCTCTTTTACCAGTACACATTTTATGTTAGTGATAGAAAGTTTCCTAATAAATGTTGTGTACATCTTTAAATAATTGTAGGTATTGTATCAGGTAGCATAAATGCCTTATCCTATTATAACGGACTGTTTCTTTTGTTGATGTATCACCATATTCCAGCCCAGTTGCACACTTAATCAGTACCCTGTCTAGCGTACAAGCACTTAATAAAATACAAATAAAAAAGATTCAGTTATTTCGAAATATGCCGTGATAGTCAATACATTTAAGTAGAATAAAATGTTAAGGTTATTTGGAGAAAAGACTTAAATAATTATCTGGTTATTATGACTTAACTGCTGATTCTGAGGATGTGCTCATTACCGGCAGAGAAGAGAAATGTCCAATCACGACTGGATATGTCTTTCTAAACAAAACTTAAAGCATTTAAAGCATCCAAAGGCGACCTAGACATTTATTCCGTTATTATTAAGTTAATTCAGTTTAATATATTTATTTTAATCCATCCAACAGTGGAGTTAGATAGGGCTACCCGATCTCTTCATTTCTCTTCAACTTTGTCATCGATGACATTCTGGAGTCAACTCTGAAGCATGTACGTGTTGGTGGTGTAGGTCGGCTTCTTGGTGAAAGACTTTTTACTTCGAATATGTAGACGATATCGTCTTATTGTGCGATAGCATGCATGCTGCCCGAGTCACACGTAATTGGTTGGTGATCAGTGTCTGTAAGTATGGTATGCGTTTTGCGCCGTGCAATGTACTGTTACAAGATTAGCATGAACCTGTACCTGCACTCACTCTTCCAGGTGAACCACCTGAAGTTTTCGATGAGTTTTTGTATCTGAGTAGTTGTGTAGGTGCTGGCGGAGGTGTGACGGACGAGATTTTCAACCGTATCATGAAAGCTAGGGTGGCGTACGTCAACTCGAGCCACCACCTCTGGAGCCGTCTTGACATTAGTCTGACTGTGAAAGGTCGGGTATGCAGTGCTTCGGTGAACGTTATTTTGCTCTACGCCTACGAAACCTGGCCCCTCCGAGTGGGCTGAGGATTTACGACGACTCTGCGTATTCGATTATCGCTGTCTCCGTAGGATCGCTTGTGTTCGATGGTATCATTGTATGAGTAATTCTAAAGTCTGGCGGCATGTGTTTCGAAACAGTGGAGATCACCATTCGTTAAGTGTCGTCATCTGGGAACACCGGCTTCGGTGTCTCTGACGTGTTACGAATATCATCCCAGCGACTTCACTAGCCCTGGTACGGTTATGGATAAACTAAGAGGTGGTCAGCTCATGATGTGGCGTCGTGGGATAAAGGGTATTTGTGGTAGGTTAGCACATTGGTTGGTGTGCTGATTAAACTCCGAAAGATATTACAAATCAGTGACTCAAAACGTTATCAGATATGGCCATGAATCTCACTTAATGGATAACGTGCTGAAATTTCCTTCCTTCTTCCCTTTCTGACAATAATTCGACGAATACTGTCTGGTATTGTCTAGATATAGATGCTTCCTTCTCAGATGAAGTCCTTTATTCATTTTCTACCTATTTTTTCTTCATATGTTTTATTATTATTGTGCGGAGCATCTTCTTGGCGTTTATATTGTACCAGGTTTTTATGTTTTAAATAGATAATTTTAGATATAAGTTTATTTTAGTGCTGTGGAAGGTGTACCAGAATATTTAAAAGAAAATTTTCCTGTTAAGTAGTCGTATAAATTCTATTTTAGAATTAATCAAAAGAGTGATACAACGACTACACACTAACTTTCTGTTATAACCAAGCTTATTTCATCTGTTGGGATTTATAATACCATATGTTTACCTTAGGTCTATTTAGACAGAATATGGTATATAATCGATACTGACTAACTAGTTTCAACGTGGAACTTTGCACCAATGTGCAGCAGTTCGAGTTGCCACATTTCACGTAGCACACAAAGCAACAGAAGAGAGTAAAAAGAGATTCAAAAGAGAGATATGGAACAAAAAGAATAGTAATATGGAATGCCGATAGAATTTTATTGGATATTACAAATCACAAAGAGTGGATGCATCTTCGCCATCATTGAGAACGATTTTCAGCCATAGAACCAATTGTCTCCAGTCACCGCTTTCTACCATCCCGAGGATCCGAAACAGTCAGGTAGTCTAAAGCTGCCTACGTGGTTTAAACTGTTATGGATTTCATTGACTGGATGAAGCCATGTTTTGGTTTGACCACCACCACTATCTAAATATTTTCCAACCTGATCCATCCTAGTGTTAGCTAACGTTACCCGTCATCGAGGAAGGCAATGGCTAGGTATGCACGTGTAACATATGTCCTAACCATCTCAAACGACATAACGTTACGGCCTCGTCTATTGATTTTTCCTTTCGATACTCATTGGTTGGAAGTCTATTCGCTTTAGCGCGTAAATGAACAACAAAGCTTATTGTTGTTTAGAGGCTGATGGTATTGACGTTCACGGATAGTACGATGCATATTAACGCAAGATCTAATACCCACAACTTCTATAGTATTCGTTCCGCGTAGACCAAAGGCAAAGCAAAACACAATAGTTGGTCGTCCAAATTACGGAATATATTTCGGGACCAAATTGGAGTGCGAGATGATTGCTTAGCTGGATAGGGATCGTGCACAAACGAACGAAGGTAACACGAAGGCGTGATGAATGGCGTGGATGCTTGACCGTGAGCCTTCAGCTAAGCAAGTCGACTTAAACAGTGAGGGTCAGCATCCAATGTTCAGTGATGGGTGCTGTGGTCAGTAATTTTGGGGAATTATTTGCCACTACGCTTGTAATTTACTTAAGCACATAACAGCTAAAATGTGATCAGCGGAATGAATTATTCCGACCTGTATGAAGTGTAATATTAGAATGCATACACATAACTTTGCTCAGATTTATTCAATTCTGAGTCAGAACATATACAAGTATGTATGAATGATTGGAATTATTCTCTGTGTAGTTTTGTATTTCTTTGAACGATTGAATATCCGATTCAGTAGGCTGTTAGTCCGTTATTGTGTCATCGGGGTTTTTTATGTATGAACTTGTGTATAAGTACATTAATTTCTTTAAAGGACGCAGTCAATATATTGGTAAAGCAGATCAGATTGTGTTTGCTTCCGTATATCTGAGATATTTTCTACTGACCTTAAAGTTATTGATTCACTTGATCATGTAATAAAATGTTTCCAATAGTTTTGAAAAAAAATTTCATGTTAGAAATATCATAAACTTGATAAGTCCTCTGGAGCCCTATGATATAACTTAATTTGTCGTAAATTTATGTGGATTAAATCTCACTATCATTGACTCATTAAAAATTACCCATATACCTCGTATCAAATTTACAATTTTCACGTTTCCTACCTGACTAGTTAGTTAGCTAGGATTCAGGTGGTTTGAACTGATTCGGTTCTCCAAGTTGAGTCAAACTGGGGATACATGACTGATGAACTTGGCTTCAAATGAGCCAAATTGTCGTCTCGTGTGTTTAGATAACTTTGAACTGACTAGTAAGCATTAGTTTGAGTGGGTGGCATCCGATTACTTATACCAATCGACCGGTAGTAAATAGCATGCACATATTTACCCGTTTTGCTCATCTGGTCATTTATTATTTGTCAAGCCTCACTCATTGTTAAGTGAAAGTCATAGTTCCTTAACGTTTGTGCGGACTATTGTTTTGTATGAAATTCATTATAAATGATAAATGGTTAAACTAGTGGACGAAGAAATTCACTTAAACTCAATTATCGAAATGTGCGAAACAGACGTTACTGTCTCATCAAGATGATGATTTAGATATGATAGAGAAGATTCGTATAGCTCAGGTGAATGATTTTGATGTGGTTGTGCTCTCTGAGCTGGATAGTTAATTTGCGAAGCTTTCATCACCCTACTAGGTGACATCTTCAGCGCATACTTCAATTTATTGAAGTGAGCTTTCAGATTTCTCCACGAGTTTATTAATCATCTCTCGTGATCGGTGACCTTGGACGTGATTGGTTGTTTTTGTGTGTTTTCACACCTTCTAGGTTACTTGTATTGCAACTGATTGTTTCTTTGACTTGAAAGAAAGTACGAAGAGAATCGCCCTGCCATATATAAAAGATATCTCAGAAATCACTGCAGGACTCTTCAAACCTTTAGGAATTAACGTTGCACACAAACCATCAAAATCACTCCACTCAGCTGGCTATGTGTCAACCAAAAGACTCAACAGCGAACGAAGATAAAACCAACATCATCTACAAAATAAATTGTAACAAGTGCGAAAAACACTACATTGACCAAAGTGGACGTCCCTTTCGTCTTCGTATCCACGAACATGAGCTAGCCGTCAAAAGACATGATATTCACCCCCTCATATCACTACATACAGACAATCACGGATATCAACTCGATTGGGACAACGTTCAAATGTCAGATAGAAGAAACAACAAGAATGGTAGAGAATTGTTAGAAGCTTAGCATTCCAGTGAATCATCAATCAGTAGACACATCGAAATAGACAAACTTTATCAACCGATATGAAAGAAACCCCACACACAAAGGGTCAAAGTTCAAGTCAAAGAAACAATCAGTTGCAATACAAGTAACCTAGAAGGTGTGAAAACACACAAAAACAACCAATCACGTCCAAGGTCACCGATCACGAGAGATGATTAATAAACTCGTGGAGAAATCTGAAAGCTCACTTCAATAAATTGAAGTATGCGCTGAAGATGTCACCTAGTAGGGCGATGAAAGCTTCGCAAATTAACTATCCAGCTCAGAGAACACAACCACACCAAAATCATCCACCTGAGCTATACAAATCTTATCTATCATATCTGTCTGTTTCGGATCGTGAGGGCGGTTGTTACTTCCCCGCTGCCCACACCGTGGAAGTTGGTTGCGAGACCACAGAGCCCAGGGGACAACTGCTTGAGGCGTGTCACACGCGGTCTGTATTTGTTTGTTATTTATTGTTTGGTGTGTCTCAGTAGCATATTTATCACTTCTGCCGTGTGACACGGCAGCAGGAAGCGCGGTCGTTGTTAATCCGGACCCCGACCTATCCGGCATGATATTTTGTGAGTTTGTTTGAATCATAGTTTTGGATTGGGTAGCTGCTTTTTGTCTAACCGCTATCCAAACAACCTTTCTGGCATGGTAGGACCTCGAGAGACATAAGTCTAAGCTAATATAGCTTGTCGGGTCATTGCAGTGTTATCGTATCTGTAGTCATAGGTATCTTGTTAACTGTATGACAAACATTCATTTGTTTGTTTTTACACTGCCATCATATCGTTGATATTAAAAGTGTTACTTAATCTTATTTTCTTTTTTTCCAAATTATAATGTCTTCATCATTTAAAGAGTGTACAGTTTTAATGAATGTTTTTATTGTCTTTCCTTTTCTTCTTTTTTTTCAGGCAATAAATTTGTTATTTTACAGCCTGGTGATGAAGCTGAACTCCTCGGCGATTCTAATGATGGTGATTCTACTGACGTGAGTAGTATAACTCAGACAACAACAGACTTAACATCGAATAAATCACCTACAGATGATCTTGACTTCCCAATGACATCACCAACACCACCAATAACAGCAGCAACTAATAAAATCTCTTCAAAGAAACGTCGTGCTAGTGAGGATCTTAACCCGGAAGATATTCTCTCTGTGGAAAAGAAAGTCGCCATAGAACCTGTATCTTCTGCTACTGCAACTGTTGCTTCTATTGGTGTAGATCATCCTACTGTTGAGGGTAAAGATGCTACAACAGCAGGTTTATCAGATGCAGAGGTAAGCGGTTTATTACCATTATTATTATTGTTATCACTACTGTTATAATACTGTTCCCTAAATCATTGATTATCCTGATATACAAGAAGGAAGATAAGTCTTCCTGTGATAATTACAGGGGGATTAGCCTGACTAATAATATGGTATGTAAAGTTCTAGGTTCAATAATCATGCGTAGACTAAGTGGTGCTCGGGAGACACAAACACGAGAGAACCAGGCAGCCGCCTTTACACCAGGAAGAGGGTATATTGATCATATCTTCACCCTTCGACAGATTCTAGAACATAGGCATTCCTACCGGCGTCCAACAATCATTATATTTCTTGACCTAAAGGCGTCATTCGATTCTGTCGACTGAAATATACTCTGGCGATGCTTGGCTGTTAAGGGAATGCCGAGGAAATATATTGCACTGATCAAGGCACTCTACTGGAACTCATGTAGTCAGCCAAGTGAGAGCTTACGGCGAGTTGTCATCTGAAGTGGTCACAACTAGTAGTATCCGACAGCAATGCCCATTTCTACTCAGTTTCAACATATATGTACCAATGGGATTAACGCTAAGTGACTTCAGCGACTCAGGGATTGACTTCTCACCACCAGGGAATAATCTTGTTGATGATATATGGTCCTCTCGCCTGGGTGAAGACGCTGAAAAAATGTAGAGTCTTTTGAACACCTTGAGATGCAACCTACGAATGTTTGGCATGCGATTAGCTCCCGCCAAATGTAAGATGGTGCTACAGGACTGGAATACATTAACTCCTAGCTTAAAAATAGACAGTGAAGTGGTAGGGCGCATTGACCGCTTCATTTATTTGGGAAGTTGCATCAACCAGTGTCAACAGGTTGATCGCTGATGAAATCTCAGCACGGATACAGAAGGTTAATTTCGCATATGCCAGTTTACGCAGTCTCTGGCGTAGACGTGATATCCAGCTGGCTGTCGACCAAAGGATGTGTGTACTGCTCTCAGCAGTCCGCTCCGTCATCCTTTATGGCTGTGAGACTTGGTCATTGGGAGTAGAGGACATGAAAAGACCTGCTGTCTGTGATCATAGGTCCCTGTGTTCTATCTCCCGTGTGAAGTGGTATAATAAAGTGAGCAATATTGAGTGAGGTGAGGCATCGGTCGAGTGCTAGGTAAGTCAAGGAAGGGAAATCAATCGACGAGGCTGTGAAGTTACACCGTTTGAGAAAGATTGTTAGGACATGTGTTACGCATGTCTAGCCATCGCCTTCCTCAACCGACGGGCAATGTCAGCCGACATAGGGTCAGGTTGGAGAAGAGTTAGTTAGCGGTGGTCAAACCAAAACATGGCTTCATCAGTCACTGAAATCCACCACAGTTAGTTTAAGCTAGTCACGTAGGAAGATGTAGACTTCTTGGTTGGGGTCCTCGGAACGGTAAAAACCATTGGCTGTAGACAATTGGTTATCTAGCTGGAAGTAATCGTTGTTAATGGCTGGCGCAAATGCATCCACTCCTTGTGACTTATAATTTCCAACGAAACCTTATTGTTCTTCGTTGTTACTGTTCTTTTTACCTCATATCTCTGTGTATTGTCTCTACATGGAGTATGGCGACTCGAACTGCTGCACATCGGTGCAAAGTTCCATGTTGAAACCAGTCAGTCAGTCGGTCCTTGGATTTTCTAAATGGTCAGATTTGCAAACTGCACAATTTCAGGTGACACTCAACTTCAGTTTGATTTAGAAAGCAGAATTATTTAGATCACAGTACATGCGATCTGCCTGTTGATACCATAAGTTGTAATCAAGAAAATAAGTATTAGTGCATCATGGTATATACTACTGACTGACTGGTTTATATAAGTAGTATATGTCATCATGTGTTTGTACTACTAGTCCATTGGTTCATATAAAGTGTGATCAAGATTTAACCGAATAGTTCCAAAATGTAATTGGGCACCGAGTAAGAAGTAGACATTTGTAAAATCTCAGCGAAAATGAAATCCGTAATGCGTCCAGTGTTTCGTTCGGCAAACTGGTCTGAAATTCATCATCAGGGAGATTAATTAAAATTAAAATAACCGAGGTTTATAAATAAAAAGGAACATCTCTTGTTTTTTAAAACTTTGTCCAATTATATCGGTCATGAAACAGGCATCAACATGTATAACAATAATAAACAAACAAAATTGTATGAGTTGTGATCAAAATTTGACCTCAGACTTAAAGTACTAGTCTACTTTTGTTAAACACTTTAAACAGAGTGTACTTTTCCATCAGAATTTGAGTGATTACGTTTGACTCATAGTCGTAGATAACTGAATATGAGAATATACTTGGATATGTGCTATACGATGGTGAGTGTGTGTCCGTGTGTATGGGTAAACAGTCGTAAATCATTTGTTAGCCTCTCCATAAGAAGGTATAGACAAACGCGAATTTACATCAAGTATTTAATTGGTGGATGGTGACTATCAGTGGAATCCAGGATGCGCATCTCGTCATATTTGGGACTCGTCATCTGGATGTACCTGCATTTCTCAGTGAGTGATGATGTTCCCACCGAGGCTCGAACCCAGTGCCCATAGTTTCAAACGCCAAAGCTATCCACTAGACCACTTGGGCCACGAGAGCCACCTCTTGTGCAACGGGTCATATTAGTTTAATTGAATTTGATATTTTTTCCCGTCGATTGATTGGACCGAAGTGCTCGGTCTCAGGTTGACATGTCGGCTTATTGTGCGGATGCTCCGACGATATCTGGTCTACATCCAGCTGATGAGTCCCAAATAGGACAAAATGCGCGTCCTGGATTCCACTGCTACTCACCGTCCACCAATTAAATACTAACCAAATGCCCAGACCTCGTTGAAGCATCTTCACAAGAAGCCGACATGTTTACCTGAGACCGAGCACTTCGGTCCAATCAATCGACGGAAAAAATGTCAAATTCAATTAAATTAGATCAAGTATGATTGATTTGTGATACATAGCCATTTTGGATTTATTAATCAGGACTTGCCATGCATCAACTAACATAACACCTTCACGTCTGTTCAAACTTTTAGGATTCATCCAAATATACAAAACGTCTGCAGTCAATCCATCTTTATAAGAACTAAAACCTTTCTGTAGTACCTTGGTTCTATCAAAACCGATCTTGTTTCCCGTTTCTGTTGAGTACAGTGCAATCGCTGATCTGCCTTCTTGCTTCTTCAAGTTTGCAGAGGTCTTTGGAACCACCTTTTTAGGCATCTTGTTTATGCTCCTTCACTCTAATATATTTACGTGTGTGGAAGTTTCCCCTACATATGCGGCATCACAATCCCAACAGTTGATCTGGTGCATACAGTCCTCTTGTTTGCCTTCTTCTTTGTCGCAAGGAATCATCGCTGGACTAACCCAATTCTTAGCAACAGGTTTCGATCTCTCTTTATCTTCACATTTTAAACACCTTTTGATAAGGGCTCTACCACTTCACTGCCTATTTCTAAACTAGGAATCAGTGTATTCCAGTCCTGTAGCATCATCGTACATCTAACAGGAGTTAGTCGCACGCCAAACATTCGTAGATTACAGCTCAAGATGTTCAGAAGACTCTCCATTTTGTCAGCGTCCTCGCCTAGAAGGACTATATCGTCTGCATATCTTAAGTCAACGAGATTATTCTCTGATAGCAAGTCAATACCTGAGTCTCTGAAGTGAATTAGGGTTAAGTCCATTAGTACATCTACAATGAAAATGAATAGAATTGGGGATAATGGGCATCCTTGACAGACACCACTAGTCGTCACCACTTCAGATGACAACTCGCCGTAAGCCCTCACCTGGCTGCATGAGTTCGAGTAGAATGAGTGCCTTAATCAGTGCAATGTATTTTCTCAGCATTCGCTTTACAGCCAAGCATCGCCAGAGAACCTCTCGGTCGACAAAATCGAATCCCACCTCTAGGTCAAGAAATATAACAATTGTTGGACGCCGGTAGGAATGCCCATGTTCTAGAACCTGTCGAAGGGTGAAGATATGATCAATACACCCTTTTCCTGCTGTAAAGGCAGCTGCCTGGTTCTCTCGTGTTGTCAAGGTGCCAACTCCTAGGACTGACTGTTAAGCCATAGATTCTGAACCTGGTGCGCTATTGCCAAAAGACTAATCGTTGCAACTGAGAATACTACTGTACGAGGTAACCGACTCCAGAATATGAGAAAACAGACTGACAATTCAAGGATTGTTTTTATTACTTCACCGACAATGAACCAGGACTACTGGGTTATACTGCTGCACAGTCTGTGAACAGACATCACCATAGATCACAATAATACTTCTGTTAATATGTATGTGTAAAACTTAGGCACTGTGGTAGTAAGTAATTCCGTATTACTTTGTTTATTGGATGTATCACATTGTGAGTGAAACAGTATCATTTACTGGATGACACAGTTCCGAACAAAATTGATTACTGTTCATAATCATATCAATTGTTATCACACGACTACGAAACTTGACTTTTATAGTTTTCTTTGTCTTCTCCTATTTGTCGTCGTTGGGGTAGTAGACTTTTCCAGATATCTGGGTGGACAGGTGTTGAATCATTCCTATTACAAGTATTCCCTGTCAATTGATTCAATAAACAAAGCTTCTGTTATCAATCTCTCCCTCCCTCCACCGTGCTGTTACATTAGACTTTAAAACTGTCATCCTATCCCATCCTATTGTGATAACTAATAATGATAATAATAATAGTCATAATCATAATAGTATTAATGACGACACCAACAATAAGGAATCTAAATCATCAGTAGTAATTGCATACAAGGAAGGAACCTCGGAAACCTTACACAGAATTCTCAACAAAGCAGGAATAAAAGTGACTGGCATTCAAACCAACCACAAACTCAATTACAAACAAGCTTTGTTGGTTTAAGGATCCTGCCTGTGGAGTTTTTAAAACAAAACAATTTAGTGTATCTAATACGCTGCCTGCAATGATTGTCAGGTCAAATACATAGGTCAAACTAGTAGAACAGGGGCGTTCAGACTAGCTGAACATAAAAACCTTGCAAAATCTAGATTGGTTGACCCGAATAAGATAAGAAATCTGGAGAATAGTTCAGCTATACCAGTCACTACATGCAGTTACACACAACCATACAATAGGATGAGATGGGACGACAGTTTTAAAATCTAATGTAACAGCATGGTGGAGGGAGGGAGAGATTGATAACAGAAGCTTTGTTTATTGAATCAATTGACAGGGAATACTTGTAATAGGAATGATTCAACACCTGTCCACCCAGATATCTGGAAAAGTCTACTACCCCAACGACGACAAATAGGAGAAGACAAAGAAAACTATAAAAGTCAAGTTTCGTAGTCGTGTGATAACAATTGATATGATTATGAACAGTAATCAATTTTGTTCGGAACTGTGTCATCCAGTAAATGATACTGTTTCACTCAAAGTGTGATACATCTAATAAACAAACTAATATGGAATAATACTTCTGATCGTTTTCCTCCAGTCTTCTGTCAAACAGCGTTCACATTTAGAAGACCCATGGTTGCCACTGTTGTTTCACGCAAAAATCCGTACATCCGTTCGCATACACCATGTTCCGTGTTCACTAACATTGACGAAGGCATCAAGAGGAAGACACAATATGACTGCGACATGATATCGTCATTTCGTTGTTTCCTCTACAATCACTTTACAGCTAGCATGGTTCACAATAAAAACATGAACGATGTGTGTGTATGTGTGTGCGACTATTACTCACTCAGTTGTATAAAAACTAAAAGTACATGTATACTAACAGGCAAGCTTTTATTTTTAGTAGGTCAAGTAATCCATGTTAGGCAAATGTTGAAGTCTATTGTTTTCTGCGCACACATACTTTGAGATGTGTATGTGATTAAACCTTGATGATTGAGAATAATTGAGCACCACTCATTAATATTGATTTTATGCCTGGATATTAATAGATGCTTCACAATGGATGATTCTGCTGGATTTCTCTTTAGATTAAGTACTTCTGGATATCCTATATGACTTAATAATCATTTAGGAAGATGTTATTTCCGACGACATTGGAGAACATCCTATTGGTTCTGTCTATATCTATATATGTGTCAATACAACTAGTCTGTTAATAGTAGGTACAGGCATTGGAAATGTTCGAGATATAAGGGAAAGGAAGGTGGCGTGGAATGTGCGCTTGATAGCTGTTATGTACTGCTGAGTAGTTAATTGTCCTGACGCGAAAAGGGGAAAATCAGAAGACCACCACGTTCACGATGATACTTGTATTTTCCAACTAGGGAAATTGACTGTCACACAAGTGTGAGTGAAAGGGGACGTAGTGTACGAAAGGTGTGATCAAGAGTGTAAAAGTGTACAATGCAGAGTATATATGAAAATGACTAATATACATGAACCAACAGGACAGTAGTTTTTTTTACCATCATTGGATTCTGATTGGTTGTAATGTCATGTGATAAAAAGGTCATACATTGTTTATTTAGTTAATGGACCAATAAAGCATATTGTCAGTTATAATGGAATATCGATCAATACACACAGCAAAATAAATCAGACTGTCAAAAACAAAGGCAGAAATCATGTGACTACATATCAATAGCTGACTGAAAGAAGCCTTTAAGTCGTCAGTTGCATAATTTGATCACCCTTGAATGGTGATCTTTAATAAAGATGGCTTTCTTTCTTTGCTATGGAAGTTGTGTTTTCAAGGGGTAGTGTGTCTTTACTCTGACACACAGGACGAAGTTTTCTAAACTTGTGCTGAATAGAGAAATCCAGCATAATTCAATTGCTAAGCACCTATTATTAATGTTGTTTATTAGTCACAAAATCAATATTAATGACTATTCCTAAATTATTTTCAATCATAACTTTAATTTTCAAGTATTGGTTTTGTTTTGAGCTGACATCAGTTAGAGAACCATTGGAAAACCTGCAGGCAGTACTGGGTGGCTGTTTCATCACCCCAGTTCGGGACTCTTCATCAGTACGTACCCACTGCCAGGGTTCGAACCCAGGACTTGCCGGTTACAAGACCAGCGAGCTCGTAGAACATGCAGCAACCACTGGGACCCGATCTAATGACCAGTCCATGAATTCCAACTTCTGCCAATTCATGATATGGGTTGACCACTAGCCAGCTTCATCTCTGGAGAGTATTTATTCTCACACCCGGCCTACCGTACCCTACTGGTCACGACTTTTCAGTGGAACCCATCTAACTTCCTACCTGAAAAACCTGAAAAAGAATTCTTCAATATGGTATGCTTTGAGAAAAAACAGCCATTGTAATGTCTCTGTGTATATTTGTAACGACAGAAGACAAGAGTTGGGCAACAGATCGTTTATTGAGAAAATCAACAGATATTCATTGATTTTTGTATACATTATTGTCAGAGGAGAAGCAATCCCTTCTGTTTTTTTTTGTCGAAGGTTATTCTGTACTGCTTGTGACCGTTTCTCAGAAAGTTAAGGCCTATATCTGTGAATCGTATTTGCACACTCTAAGTGTGCTGTGATTAGTTGGCCAGTTCCTCAAGGTTAGGAGGCTTTATTATCGTTTTTCTCATGACCCTGATTCCGTACGTAACATTAACATAAAGTTGTTTAGAATTTTGGCTTGTTTGCGCAGCCAGCTTTCACCACATATTTTTCTATTGGTTTTCCCCCATTTTTAGCGTCTCGCTCTTCGTGCTAAACGCTTTGGTGGCAGTACTTCTTCAAATGGGACAAGTATTCTAAGTGATAGCAAGTTGATTGCTCGTGCTAAAAGATTTGGTCTACCGATTAACACCAGTTCCATTGGTGGTGGTGGTGACTCCTTAGAAGTTGATGAATTAGGCAAATTAAAACAACGTGCTGAACGATTTGGTCAAACTACAAATAAAACATTAGAAAAGGTATATATAGTTTGGTGATAACGATGATTGTTTCTTTTAACTGTGTCTCTCTTATTCATGAAATTTTGTATCTTTTAAAATTTCTTTCAACTGTCGATTGGTGATGATGGCAATTAGTTATTATTATTATTATGATTCTCTTGGGTTCCGAGTGGACTTTGGGGTTTCAGCAGCATGTAACTATTGCACACAATTGGTGTTGAGTGTTAGGTAAGGAGGGGAAATCAATCGACGAGGCTGTGAAGCTACATCAACTGAGATGGTTAGGACATGTGTTACGTATGCCTAGTCATCGCCTTCCTCGAACGACGGGCAATGTTAGCTGACATAGGGTCAGGTTGGAAAAGAGTTAGCGGCGGTCAAATCAAAACATGGCTTCATCAATCAATGAAATCCACAACAGTTAGTTTAAGCCAGTCACGTAGGAAGGTGTAGACTTCCTGACTGGTTTGGGTTCTCGGTGTGGTAAACACCAATGACCGCTGGAGGCAGTTGATGATATGGCTCAAACTAGTTCTCAGTGATGGCGCAGATACATCCACTCCTTGTGACTTTTGATTTCCAATGAAACTGTATTGTTCTTCGTTATTACTCTTCCTTTGTCTCACACCTCTGTTTACTGTCGTTAATATGCATTTCTTCTACCTTCCTCTGTTGGTTTGTGTGCTACATGGAGTGAGTGTGGCGACTTGAAGTAGTGCACATCGGTGCAAAGTTCTATGTCGAAAACAGACAGAGAGACAGACACACTTGGTTTTATACCATTACTTTCAATTGGCTTCACGTTCATTTTCAAGCTTCCATTTCCGCTTTACACGATCTTCATTCCATGTCATCGTTGAAGCGACTGTTTTCAACGAATTTATTGTCAAGCTGTACAATCGTATATATATGGTTTTTACAAGAAATTATATCCGGTGAGGGAATCGGATCAAAGGTGTGAATACATGAAATAATAATAATAATATGAAATGCAATTAAAATATTTGTGATTATAATCATAGTTAAATGTTAAGTATCGAAACAATCAATGTCATATAAAGAACAATTCATCAGGTGTCAATGCTACGCCCAACTCGTCGTTTCCCATTTTGGATTTCACTGGAGTGTCTGTCTGTCTGTCTGACGCGTGATATATCACTCAACAGTGTCTCATCTACACTATGCCATCAATTCATCTCCATTTTATTTTCGACAATAGGTTCTTGGTTGGTTCATTGCAAGAGTGGTTGTTGTTGTTGTTTATTCTTTTTGGCTGATCATTTAATCTTCATTATCGAAGTAGAAAAGGTACCTGTTGATGAAAGTTCTCAGTGGTGGCTTGTTGGAAATGCCTTTTGTGAAACTCACTCTAAGTTTCTGACCCATATAAAGAAGCATTGACTGATTTGAAATTAATGTTCAGAATTCGGATGTTGTTTTTTATGCTGAGTGTGGTAGATTTCCATACCGATTTCACAGTAATGGATCTCTGATCCTAGTTGACCTTGACATCCTCATTTGTGCCACTTGCTGTTGAAACGATGCTGCATATATAAGTAAACTAATCGACTTCCTTCAAATTCCTCCTATCAATAGTGATTCGTGCTTGTTGTTGTTGTTGTTGTCGTCGTCGGTTAAGTATCTTCATCACATTCGTCTTCTTTATGTTCACTTGAAGTCCTGTCTTCGGTGCCTACCTCTTCTGCGAACTTTTTGGTTTTCGGTTGTACTCAATGTTAGCTGATATAGGGTCAGGCTGGAAAAAAGTTAGCCAGCGGCGGTCAAACCAAAACATGGCACCAGTCAATGAAATCTACAACAGTTAGTCTCAGACACGTAGGAAGGTGTAGAATTCCTGGTTGGGGGGGGGGGCTCGGGACGGTAAAAACCAATGGTTGGAAACAATTGGCGTTATGGCTCAAAATCGTTCTCAATGGCTGGTGCAGATACATCCACTCCTTGTGACTTTTGATTTCCAATGAAACTGTATTGTTCTTCGTTATTACTCTTCCTTTGTCTCACACCTCTGTTTACTGTCGTTAATATGCATTTCTTCTACCTTCCTCTGTTGGTTTGTGTGCTACATGGAGTGAGTGTGGCGAATTGAAGTAGTGCACATCGGTGCAAAGTTCTGTGTGGAAAACAGACGGACAGACAGGTTGTAGGTCTTCGCAAATGATATATGTCCAATGTCACACAAACTCGAAGACTTGTAGGCGAAAACCAACAAACTGGCAGGACTGCAAGTGAACATAGAGAAGACGGAGGTGATGAGGATAACTATCTTACCAACAACAACAACAACAACAGCCACAGGACCAATCACCATCATTGGGAGAAATTTGACAAAAGTTACTTCCTTCACTTATCTCACTAGGAAGTGCGGTTTCAACTACAGTCAGTGGGAACGGATAAAAATGTCTAGGCTAGCCAGAATCGGAAAGGCAAGATGCGTCTTCATCAACCTGAAACCAGTTTGGAAATCTTTTGCACTCACTCAGTATATAAATAACAAGACTCGGGTTTTCAAAACAAATGTTGTGAAGTTAGTCAGACGCTGCTTCTACTGGGTGAGAAACATATCGTGCGTGTAACAGAAAGGATTTCCAACAGCCTGTTGTAGACTTTTATAGACATCTGCCCACTTCACTGGCCCCATAATGAAGATCAAATGGCCAATCGACCAGAAAGAACTCGTAACAAGAAACTATATATATATATATATATATATATATATATATATATATATATATATATATATATATATATATATATATATATATATATATATATATATATATATATATATATATATATATGAGTACAGTTGGCTCGGCGGTATAATGCTCGCCAACCATGCCCTACGTGGTTCGGGGTTCGATCCCCGATTGACGCATTCCTTCACCTCTCTAAGTCAGTATTAAGACTGGTAAAAAGGAAAGATTTAGCATATGAGGCTAGCAACCCCATCCCGTGAAAGTAAACACCACAATCATCAACGTATCTATGACACATTCATTGTATGCAATGATTTGAGTCACACTTCGTCTCTATTAGACTCTTTCAACAATGTACACAAAAACGTCACTTTCACGATGAAGGTGATGAAAAATTCCATTTTTTGGACGTAAATTTGGAGGGAAAATACGACGGGACAGTTGAAAGATCTGTATATCGTAAAGACGCATGTAGTCGTCTTTACTTGAATTTCGACAGCTTCTGCCCAGTTAGATACAAACGAACGCTTTCTTCTAGAGCGAATTAAAATATGTTCACCAGACAAACTAGACAGTGAACTAATGCTTCTTGAAAAATGCTTGAAAGAAAATGGTTACCCACAAAGTTTCATTAACAAATATGTCAAGAATGAACTCAAGAAGCTTGATACAGCTACAGTCAGTAAGAACCCTATTTTCATCAAACTTGACTATAAGGGTGACGACATTATGAGAATGGTAAATAAAAGATTAAGCGTAGCCCTGTCTAGGACGTATCTTGCAGCGTTATTAGTCTCTCTATCCCGAACAACCTCTTCACTGGTCCTGTCAAAGATTGACAAGTACCCCTCACACGTTACCTCCAACTGTGTATACCAATTCACATGTATCTTCGGGACCAGTTACATTGGAAGAACAGATAGGAGGGCCTACATCAGATTCTGCGAACATGTACCAAGGAGCCTCCGGTTAAAGTGACCGAAATGTTTAAGCACTTCAGTCGCCAAACACCTGATTGACGCAGTACACCGTGTAGATGTGCTGGAATCATTCAAAATAATTAACAGACAAAGTACCTCAAGTCTTCTTAAGTTTGCTGAAGTTATAGCAGTAAAAACGATTGAAGCCTGAGTTATGTATCCAAAAAGAATCCGTTGTTGGACTTTACTTCTTATTAACTGTTTATTTTCTAATTTTGTTAACTTATCTTTTCACTCCTCCCCCTCCCTCTATTTTTCGCTTGACTCCCTTAAGAGATAATTTTTCTTGATCTTCTGAGTTCTGCTCACTGTATTACATCATCAACTACTCACTTGACCTAATGTGCACCGAAATTGTAGAATTTTGATCTCCTCTTATCTAATTACGTAACTATTTCTAATTGTCTTTTTTCACCACCCCAACAACACAACTGTTAATTAATTTTTTTTCAAGAAACTTCTCTCTACCAAGATATGTATATATATATATATATATATATATATATATGTCGTAACACTTTAGACACCCTGTAAACAGGAACTCCTTATTTAACTATGACGCTCTGACAGTATGCTTGCTAATGGAAAAAGGCTGTACGCAACTGATGAGAACCAACGAAATAAAATGGATCCAGATTGTTCTACGCCAATGTTTCTTCTTTCTTTTTTCAAAATGTATAAAAGGGAATAATTGTCACAAATTTTCTGGAATTATTTGACCGCCAAGTCAGGTTGATGAATCATTATAAGTTATCCAAAATAATCTCAGCGTGTTTAGGAAAAGAAATCGAAACAAGTTTTATTTTTCTGAACGTTTCTGAACAGCTTCTTCATCCAGCAGAATTGTTCGGATTATTTGGGTACATGATTTCATCATGAACTGACATCAGTTAGAAAACCATTGGAAAACCTGGGAGTGCTGGACAGCTGTTTCGTCCTAGTTTGGGACTCTTCAGCTGTACGCATCCACCGCCATGGTTCGAACCTAGGACCTTCCGGTTACAAGGCGAGCTCGTAGACCATTAAGCCACTGGGACCCGATCCAATGGTCCTTGAATTCGGATTTTATTAACCATCAAAATATGTAGTCAACAAATTACTTTAATTGAAGTGAATTCTTTTTAAGGTCACTTGTCGACAGGCATTTGTACCAATAGTAAAAATGCAAAGTGTTATCACATGCTTCCAGTGACCAATGTCAAATTGTCATATTTGTATATTTGTCTGTATGTATGTGTGCATGTTGCTCGTGATGTAGAAAACACGTCAAAACATGATAATGTTTCATAGTGGTTATAAGATATATATATATATATATATATTTCTCATCTGTTTCGCTTTATTAGAGCCTGTCATATGGGTGATAAGTCCATCACTTCTCTCCTATTTACTGCATTCGATGTGGTTAAAATATGCAAGGCTTTAGAGGGGTTAGTCTTTCATTATGTGATTGAAAGCCTCTTCCTAGAATTTCGACATTGTCGAAGCCAATCTTAAGTCCTCTGTCTATATAGATAGCATGCATTGCTATAGCTGATCTTTTTTTTCGAGAATTTTTAATTCTACTTCATTTTTAGGTGAACATTTCGTGCACAGTTTGTGTTCATCATTTACTCTGACCTTCACCTGTCTACTGCTCTCCCTCCCCTGTCTAGCAGGTTTCACATTCTGACCACTTTATGCTATAGCATAATTGTGCTGAATAAGCTGTAGCTTACACAACGAAACGTTCAGAAGAGTTTCGTTTTGGTTTTTTTCAAAAAACACTGGGATTATTTGAATGACGTTATACACAATTGACAAGATTGAGTAGAATTCACCGGAAATTGAACGCGAGTCACGTTTTTACAAAAGTGGTAGACATATAATAGAGCGCTGATAGAAGAAAATAATGCAATTATAAATTACAACGAACTACATGTCTGATGCTAACACGACAGATCATATCCATTGTAGATTGAATGACTATGTATTGTTATCTCAAGTCTGTGTGGAGATCAATGTAGCACACTCAGCATGAAAAATAAGATCAGGATTTTCAATTCCGATGTGAAGTCAGTGCTACTATATGGATGGATCAGAGAATTGGCGCCGCGGTGTGTCACGAAAAGCACTTCAAACAAACTACAGACCTTCATCAACAGCTGTCTCCACTCAACACTGCTCAAGATCAGATGAGTGGCCAGAAAAGATCAGCAACAGGGAGGAATCTCTGGCAATGAACGAGCCAACCGAGCAGGAACCCATTGTGCAACAAATATGCAGGAAGACATAGAGGTGGATTGGTGGCCATACTCTGAGAAAACAAACCATCAAGTGAGTGACATCACACGCCAGGCCATCGCTCGGGTGGACTTCAAATGGGAAGCGGCGATTTGGTTGTCAGTGCGAAGGTGACATGCAGGAGGTCATGTGGAAAGGAGATGAAAGCAGTGGGCAGACGTGGAGCCTAGTGAAAACGTTGGTGGAGAACTGAGTGCAATGGCGATGTACTGCAGAAGCCCTATTTTCCTCTAGGAACTAAAGGCCACGATAATAATAGTTACGTATGTTGATCTTTGGAATTGATTTTAAAGAATAATAATAGTGATAGAGAAACTGATAGATAATGCATCTAGATCATGTGGATTTTCGATATTTCTGGCGTTGTTTTTTACTTTGAGTTTTAGATGGTTTTGTTTTTCATTGCATGGCTTTCTTTATCGCTTTGTAAACACTACAAATTCAGCACTGGTATCTTATTGAATCGATTATACTGTATTTGTTGTAGGCCTGAGTTTGAGGTATTGATCTCTCTCTCTCTCTCTCTCTCTCTCTATATATATATATATATATATATATATATATATTCGTGTTTGTGATAATGTGACTTTGTTGACTTATCTGAATACATTTAAAAGAAAGATATCGTTTAGACATTCTTTCTGTTATCGTTGACATCAGTCTACTCAGTGAAGATTTGAGGCATTAGTTGGGATTACTGAATTAAGCATACTTCAAGTTGTCATAGTTAACTCTGTTATAGTTGACAGAATAGTCCTTTGTATTATTTATATATATATATATATATTTTTTTTTTTTTCGTGTTTGTGGTAATGTAACTGTTGACTTTTCTAAATGCTCAAAAGAATGGATACTGAACAAAGAGCACTCTTTTTGATAACTTCATCATCAGGCTCTACAGTTACATATACATTATAGTGAATGAATGAATGAATGAATTAGTTTTATCAGTAACATTAATGTTGTTTAAATAACATCGAATCAATAATCACATTGATAGATTGCAGCTCAGTAGTATCAACATACAATAAGCTAAATGTCAGAAAAATTAGGAAAGATAATATTACAAATTCATGAGTTTATAGTTTCTACTGAAGGCCAGGGAAATAGTAGTAGCTGGACTTGCTTCTTTTGGATACAAAGCACTGGTTGTTTGAGGCGAACCGCGATAGCCTCTGCTGTTTGGAGCATGTGGTGCTTCGATGATTTCGGCAATTTATTAGGCACCCGGTATATTATAGAGAAGGATTCATCTACGCTGGCTTTGTGGCCAGTTTGCATCAGATGGCCCAATATCGAGCTGTTAATGGTTTTAACTACACCTTTGCTTAGCCATAGTGGGAGATGTTCTCGAGAGAGCAGGAAAAATCAAGTTCCTAGGGTCACGGCCAATATAACTGGCTCCACAAGCGCAGTTGTATTGATAGATACAATTTGAAGTGGCTAGTCTAGGTACTTCATCTTTCAGTCGAGGTAGCACCATCGGTCGTGTAGAGAATAATACGTGTAGTTCGCCAACATTAAAAGTTCTTTGAACTGATTATCTTAATTTCTTCGCAACTATCTCGCTTGGGATATCGCCCATGAATTGTAGTCGTATATAAAGTGGCTTCTTTTTAACAGATAGTGAGTAGTACTTTTCTGTTTTCTTTGTCATGTGTTTCTTGATAAATTTGTCGGGATAGCTATTTTCGATCAAAGTATCATATACAATGCTTAGTTCATCTTCAGTTACTTCTTCTTCTGATGAATTTGTCGAAAAGAGTACTCTTTGTTCAGTATCCATTCTTTTGAAAATTTTCTAAATGCATTTAAAAGAAAGATATTGCTTAAACATTCTTTCTATTATCTTTGACATCAGTCTACTCAGTGAAGATTTTAGGCATTAGTTAGGATTATTGAATTAGAGATACTTCGATGTGTGAAGTTAGGAGTTGACGTGGTCCAGTCCTGTAGCAGCATCTTACATTTTGTAGGGGCGAATCGCATGCCAAACATACGAAGATTGCTGCTCAAGGTGTTCAGAAGAGCAGCAATCTTCGTATGTTTGGCATGCGATTCGCCCCTGCAAAATGTAAGATGCTGCTACAGGACTGGACTACGTCAACTCCTAACTTAGTGATAGGGAGTGAAGTGATAGAACATGTTGACCATTTCTCACCTATTTGGGAAGTTGTATCAGCACCAACGGACTGATTGGCGACGAAATCTCAGCACGGGTCCAAAAAGCTCGAGCTGCTTTCGCCAGCTTACACCATCTCTGGCGTAGGCGTGACATCCGGCTATCAACCAAGGGATGTGTACTACTCAGCTGCAGTTCGCTCCGTCCTTCTCTATGGCTCTGAAACATGGCCAATACGAGTTGAAGACATGAAAAGGTTGACTGTTTTTGATCATAGATGTCTCCGATCTCTGTCTCGCGTTAGGTGGTTTAATAAGGTAAGTAATGTTGACGTTAGGCGTAGAGTATTGGGCAAAGAGGGAAAATCAATCGACGAGGCTATAAAGTTACATAGATTGAGATGGCTAGGTGACGTGGTGCGCATGCCTAACCATCGCCTCCCCCGACGGGCATTACTAGCTGATATAGGTGCAGGTTGGAAAAGGGTAAGTGGTGGCCAAACAAAAACATGGCCTCATCATTCCATGAAATCCTTGACAGTTAAACTGAGTTAGGTATGGAGATGGAGACTTCCGGGCTGGGGCCCTCGGGACTCTAGGAATTGATATCAATGGCTGGAGACAATAGGTGACATGGCTCAAAATCGTTGTCAACGGCCAGCGCAGATGTATTCAGTCTCTGTAATCTTTCATATTCCTTTCTACCATTACCCATTCTGTTTCACTCTTATACTTGTCAAACTCTATTAATTCTCTTCACTGATCTTCTTGTCTACCTCTGTGTGCTATTTGGAACGTGGCAACTCGAACTGGTGCACTTTGGTGCCAAGTTCTATGTTGAATCCAGACAGACAGATGTGTGAAGTGAACGCTGTTATAGTTGACAGAATAGTCCTTTGTATTATATATAAATATTGATTCTTATAGTGTGACAATTGTCTCTAGTGTTTTTCGCTGTTTTATGATGCATTATTTCAAGCGAAACATTTTACAAATTCTGTGTTTTAGAAGAACACAAATAGTTTGATGACTTCATCAGTGTTCTGTTTTTGAAAATGAGAATAACTTGGATACATGTAAATACCTAAACTTTGTATCTCTCATAATTGACAGATTACGACGCCATACTAGTTATTTAATCCAAACGAGTAATTTTAGTTGACATAAAATTAAGTTAGAAAGGAGTTAGAGGCAGTTAAATCAAAGCCTGACGTCGATCTATGAAATCTTTAGTGGTTGGTTTATTTCAACCATGTAGACAGGTGTCTAACTGGTGGTCATCGTGGCGCTAAGAAGCTGATAAAATGAAGTGTTATCGAAACACCTTGAGGAGCAACAATCTTCGAATGTTTAGCATGTAATTCGCTCCTGTCAAATGTAAGATGATGATGCTACCTAGAGACTGGACTACACATCGATGGTAGGGCGCGTCGACGACTTCACTTATTAAGGAAGCTGAATTACTGATAAAATCTCATCACGGATGCAGACAGTTCGTGTGGAATTTGCCAACTTAGGTGTCATCTCTGACGTAGACCTGATATACAGTTGGCTTTCGAACAAAGGACGTGTGTGTACTGTGCTTCAGTTCACTGTGTTCTTCTTTGTGGCACATATACCACTATAGCTCTCACTGCATAGTTGGAGACCTTCTTATCCGTTATACCGCTAGTACTCTCACACAACTTCCTAGATAAGATACATGAACTCATCGGCAACTTCAAGTGGTTCACCTGCAAGAGTGTATGTGGTAACTGAATTTATTTCTCGGTGTTTAATTGTAGTGTCTATACATATACACATGTATATATCCCTATGAAATAACACTTCACTGCCTTATTTTATTTTATTACAGTTAACAGAATTAGAGCGGAAAGCCAAACGTTTGGAGAAGTTTGGTGGTGTTACCACGGTGTCTAAAAAAACTCCTATAGATGATGAATTGGCTAAAACTATTCGTGCACAGAAATTTGGTCTTGCGCCATCATCAGCATCAGCGTCTACGGGAAGCAGTTTATCTGAAGCTGAAAGACTAGCGAAACGTCAAATGAGATTTGGTTTAGTTGACAGTAAAACATGACAGTTGAATAAATAAATTTACATATACATATAATTGTGATTGTATTATTTTTTTCCAATTTTTATGTTTATAAAAATGTAGTTCTTCTCTGTTTATCTCTTGTATTCTTCTTTGTGTGTGTGTGTGTGTGTGTGTGTGTAACTCTCCCTCACACACACACACACGCTTCGTTGCCTGTAAGATAAACTCTCATTGTGCAAAGTTTGATAACTACACACAATGAGCGCATTCTAATAATCTTGACCGGACGTTATATGTTCAGCAGTTATTATTTTTATTATTGTCAATTACGTTATTCTTTTGCGTTCCGAATGATGCATATGGCTTTATGCTTGAGAATTGCCAGTAGCAGTGGTGTTTATTTCTGATGGAGTGCGGGTTACTGGCCTCACCTACCCTACCTACCTACCACCTGTCGTCTTTATTGAGTTGAAAAACAGCTAGGTGAGGTTTAGTAGTGCGTCAACCGAGGGGGCGGTAGGGGATCAAACTCCGGACCATGTGTGATTCCATTATGGGTAAATTTCGTCTTGATAAAGTCTCACAGTGTTACACAGTTATGTTTACTGATGACCACGTTTCGAGCACAATTTATTGCTCATAATCATCATATCAAGGTAATCACACGACTTCCTAAATTCATTTATATAGTTCCATTGTTTTCCGCTTTATTTGATTGGTAGTGTGGTGAGAGCAGGCTGCTAGCCGATTGGTTGGCACTAATCTACGTTAAGGTCTAGGTCACTAATATGGGCCGTGAACAAGGCTGAGTCAACAACCAATCACAGCAAAGTTAACGTGGCAAAATATGATTCGCAGATAGAGAACTCTATTTGTCAAGGAATCCCGAAACAACCAATCAGAAGCCTGCGTTTGTCTACCTAAACAACCAATCAGATGACTGCGCTTGTCTATAATAATGTAGTTGAAAGATGTATAAATACGTGTTAATTTTCACAATAAAACGATCTGTTGCCTGGCCCTTGTCTTCTGTTGTTACAGTAGTAGTATTCTCCATATTTCGGGTATGAGTGATGAATCACTTCTATTGCATGTGTTGGGTGTAGACTCGATGAACAAGGCAGGATTCAGTAATCAACCTCTCTCCCTCTCTACCTACCTAGATTACTTTTTAGAATTTTAACCCTCTCCCACCCTATTGTGTGGTTGTGTGTTAATGCATGCAGTGCAATGCACTGCTGAGCTTTTTTCTAAATTACTTATCTTCTCGGGGTCAACCATTCTTCCCTTAGCTAAATTCTTATGTTCTGACAATCTGACTACCCCTGACCTACTAGTTTGACCTATGTAGTTGACCTAACTCACAGTTATTTCAGGGTATTTTGTAAATTATATTATTTTGTCTAATTGGGTCAACCCACTGGGTCCTTTAACCTACACAGCTTGTCCCTGAGTGAGTTTGTAGGATAGTTTGAATGCCACCACCCTAATTCCTGCTTTATTTAGAATCCTACGTAGGGTCTCAGATGTCTCCTCTTTATATGGTATACCTGTAGATGACTTATATTCTCTCTTATTTATGTCATTTTTACTGGTTTCACAACTGTTTTTCTTTTGGGCTTTTTCAATCTTCCTAATGAATTTTAAAGGATAGTTATTTAACCCCAACGCCTCTTTTGTCTGTTTTATTTCGTCATTTAGGTCTATTCTTGTGCTACTCAGTGCCATTGCTCTCTCGGTTCGTTAAACACTTAACTAAGCCTGCCTTAACAGTTAACGGATGAGATGAATTAAAGTCTATTAGAATCTATTAGAATGCGTTGGTTTTCTATAAACACTAGTGTGTAGTTTGCCTTCTTCTATTCGTTTTATTTTACAATCTAACATAGCTAATTCTCCTTGTTCATTTTCCGCTTCAAATGTGAATTTTATTCCCTCCACTAGTGATTCTATGTGTATCAAGAAGCCAGAGGCAGATATGTTCTGTTTTTTAACACTGTGAGAGTGTCATCCACATATCTCCACCATATCTTTGGAGTAGGATTAAACGTATTAAGAGCCATATTTTCCCAGCTATCCATAAAGATATCCGCTACGATAGGGGATATTGGTGATCTATCCCATTGCTACCTACACCTTCGGTTAGTCTACATATTCTGTCTCGGAATTTAAATATAGTAGATGTGAGGCATAACTGAATTCCTAAAATAATTTCTTCAATGGATAGTTTCATCCTATAAGTGAGTTCACGACAACGTGCTTAGCTGAAGAGTACTCAACCGCTGAAACAACATGTGTTAAGCTATTAGCCACATTTAATGCATGAAACTTTTAATGCTGCTTGGATGAAAGGTAAGTTGGAATTTGTTCCTGGGGGTACGGCTGAATGCTGGTTAAGTACGGGACAAATAGTTTCAACGCTAGGGTAGTGGTGGAAGTTAAGTATAAGAAACAAAGATCTATAAATAGCTGGAATAGATTTTCCTACAGATCCTATCATGGCAGAAATGTTAAAGAGTTACACTTGACTTAATGTAGACCTCAAAATAACCACACTTATAAAAAACTTCACCGCCTCATGACCCCTTGGCTGTACTCTGCCTAACCTGCAAGTACCGACGAACGAAATCAAGGTGAAAAGACTTGAGATGACAAGTGTGCCTTGAACAGAGTTATATTTTTACACAAATGATATGAAATTTGATAAATAAGTGGGTTATACAACTTATCGGCTGCCTTGACTGGTGGTGTTAGACTCGGAGAGTGCGCTGATTGAAAGCACAACGAGAGAGCGAGAATCAAAGAATGTACAGAAGAGTTACAACTCAAATGATGAAGAAGCGTCAAAAGTGGGTGAGTATACTAAAGAAACATCAAAAGGATAGTGGTTATGATAAAAAAGGGTTATTGTCATAACCTGGGATGCCTACATTTTTTAGAGGTCTGTGAGAGGAGTCATACTTTTGAAAAATATAGGGGTAGTAGCAGCAGTGAGTAACAGTGCCACCTTCGCTTTCTGGGGTGCAGGGGCTAGAATAATTCGATTCTGAAACTTATGCACATCACCACTTGCCGGACAACAGTGATGCTTTTCGTATGGAAGCTTCACTTCCAAGCATGCAATGTGTGATCTAGCTCAAGTACTTGTCCTCTGGACTATAAGGTCACAATAATAGTCCATTTTGTTTTTGAGGTACTCGGAGAACCGATCAACACCCATCATGTGAACACTCCTCGACCTCACTAGAGAAAACTTTAGGATTTAGTACTCTGTTTGTATGTTCGATTTCTGAGGTATGTACTCAGGATGTATGTATAGCTATTCACTTATCATCACTACTATGATGAATCTATAACTTCCACTCCACGGATTCATTGCCTAGCTCACATGTATTTGCTGGTGTATTCATAAGATCAACCTTAGCAGTAGCGCAAAACACACTGACCTATTGGATCGCAATGAATAGGGGTATGGGTGGTTTCTGTGTGAATAGGTCTGTAATAATATGAAAGGTACCATTTTGTTTGTCGAAAGCTTTTCGTAGTCTTCTATTATGCACCCCCTGACGAATTTGGTGATGATTTTCATCATAAGCTGTCCAGTTTACTGCCGTGACCAGTAGGGTACAGCAGGTTAAAGATGAGGCAGCAACTCTTCGAGAAGACATTAGAAATTGTCGTGAATTGGAAGAGGTTAGAATTAATGGACCATTAGATTGGGTGCTATTGGCTTGACGGTCTATGAGGTCGCTAGCCTTGTAACCAGAATGTCCTATATTCGAACTTTGGCGATAGGTGCGTTATGATGAATAGTCCCGAATTTGGCTGACAAAACCTCTGTTCAGTACTTCCAGGTGTTTTTCCGTTGGTTCTCTATCCGATGTCTGCTCATGAATAAATCCTCTATCCAATCAGACAAAATCGCTACGAAACCAATACTAGAAGACAATTCCTCAAATATTTTCAATTGACTAGATTATTCGAATGCACAGATAGAGAATCTGAATAAGTCGGCTGTATTTCTCCATGTATCTGTGGAGCTCTCTGTCGAAGGAACTGACAATAGGGATTTCCTTTTTGCAATTTCTTCCACATAACTGCTTGTTTAAGACCGATACTATCTTCACACATTGACCGTCAACACCAGTATAATGTTGGATCGAAAACGATCACGTAGCTATAGGTGGTTATCGATGAAGATTTCTTTTACCTTCAGGTAGATGGACAATCGGGGTTTCTTGGGAAATACCAATGTGCACTCTGGTGTAAGCATATGTCTGCAACTTATTGAACAAAGGGAAACAAGCAGTTGCGAAGTCCTTATGTATCCAGTCATACATGAGAATAGGAAGTCTTCACTAGGTGAGGTAGTTGAACACACCTTAAGACGACTGTTGTTCATTTCCTGGGAAACCTGTAGGGGACCGTCAGGAGAGCTCATTAACATTACATATATGCGAATAAAAATCCAAGTAAATGAGATGATAGAGTAACAATATATAATCAAAAAATGCAGTAATGAGTTATGTTAATAAAAGTGTTACTTGGATATAACGTTAAAGTCCGCTGCCACAAATTATTAATATAATCCCCGGAAGCGTTCACTGTTGGAATTGCATCTACTGGTATATGCTGTGTACCGGTTGTGGAGTTGTCTTTGGATAGACTCCTGCAATAAATCCAAGGTATACAGCATGGTATGAGTGGAGCAAGTAAGCAGTAATGGCCAGAGAAAAGGCGAAACTACCAAAAGTATAGTGTATTTTTGAATTGTACTCGGAAGTTTTATATATTTAAACATGAATCGTTTTAAACAAAAATCATGTACAATGTCTTCAGTTTCAACAACTAACAAAAAGTATACAATCATATTGTCACGTACTCCACAAACCTGCCACCATATCCAGTACAGCAGTGAAGATAGTAATACGGGGTGACTCTAAACCATAGCAGTCCCAAAGGAAACTACCTGATGAGCGGATTGATGACATTGACGGATTTATATACAAAAATTGGTTTAATCTGACTACGAGGATCCCTGTGAGAAACTGGGAGGTTTCCTTGGAGCATATACAAGAATGTCAACCTATGTAACCATTTTTCAACATTACATTACCATTATAAAAACGTTTATTTCAAATTACTCACTCTTAGCTCTCACTCATCTGATTAGTCGCTAGAAGTAGTTCTCCCTTGAGTTGCTGTAGTTTAGGGTCACCATTAAGGCGTAGTCAAAATGCTGGCGCCAGTAAGTACCAAGAGACAAGTGACCATGAACGCATCAACAACATAATAAAGAAGATTTTCGCGCAATAAATATATGTATCATTATCAAATAAAAGAATAGAAATGCCGTGAAAGTGCAAAATGCGATAGATTTATGACAGCGTAGTCGTAGGTGCACGGGCGAGAGTAATTTTGGGCCTTTTTACCATAACGCCGATGATACCAGGACACTCCAGGCTGGGAGTTTTGAGACTTACGACGCCGACTGCCGGCACGTGACAATGATCTACTACGAGTTCAGTCTGTGCGACTAACCGAGCGGCTTCTTGCTCTCATCTCCTGTCTGGTACTACATATCTCTTCCTACAGCTTGGTTATATGGGTCACTGTATCGAAGCTGGATGATTCCCCAGCCGGAGATTCTTTGATCTGACCGCGGCCGAAATGCTCAGGTTGGATGCAGTGGCCTCTACTACCCTATAGGCCGCTTCGGCTAATTCAGGTAAGGGGGATATGT